GGATATTCCTGCATGGGCCCTAAGTTTCTGGCTAATGAACCAATGACATGAAGGAGGAGTTTTCAACCTACCTTGTGTTAGGTGTGCAGGGGTCAATAGGCTGAACATAATGTCAGGAGCAAAGGGGGGCATTTGCCTCTTCAAACACAATTGTGACCATCTTCATCTCTTCGAACTATCCTAAATGCTCTCTTCACCTGTCTGACCAAATTGGGTGTCCAGACCACCTTTGAATCTGAAATTGTAAAATTAATAGTGATTTCAGAATATTCAGTCCATTTATACTAACAAAATTATATACAGTATACTGTAATTGAAATTTTACAGAATGATAAAGGCAATTTAGTAACTTTGTTGAAAATGCACATGGGGGAAATACATGAAAATAGGTTAATATGGTTTGTAAGGTTGATGGGAAATGTTTATTACTTTTATGATTTAAAAGATGTATAGCCCTGATACTCCATCCTGAGTGCATTCCACCAGCCAGCACTCAGGTCCTCCTCTTTGGTGGGTCTACTGGAGGATTCCTCCCCGCGTCCATGGACTCGTCATCATTCTCGACTCCTCAACACTGCCATCACTCGTCTCCGGATTGGGCACACTTGCCTGGCCGCACATCTCCATCGTCTACGGCTGGTAGATTCCCCATATTGCCAGTGGTGTCCGACCCAGGAGGATACAGTGGAGCACCTTCTACTTCACTGCCCTCGATTTCATAGCGCTCGCGTCAGACTACAGAGTTCCGTTCGTAGGCTGAATATTCCCCGCCTCACAGTTCCCGTTCTCCTTGACGGGGCAGGTGCGAGAGACGAAGACGTCCATCATGACATCCTTCGCCATACCTTCCGCTTCATTCGTCATGTCCGCGGCCTGAAGAGACTGTAAAATTTGTCGCCTGAGGAGATTGTAGGGTCTATGGCCTGAAGAGACTATAGGGACCCCATCCCTCCGCTATTTCCCGGTATCGGGCAGCCGGGGCGCATCCGATCCCACGATCGTCGTCGCCCCTAAATCAACACAACAACAACATTTCACATTTTCAAACTTGATTCATCTTTTTCCCCCTCGTTCCAGGGGTTTTCTTTAAAAGGTCTTCATGCAAATGCCTTGGTTTCTCACAAATGATGGCCTCTGAAATGCTATCACCTGCTAACTCTTTGTTGTGTATCCAAATTAATAAAAACTTTTTAACATCCTCAAGTGTTTGTGTTCTTTGTTTCGGGATTGTTGATATGCCTTTTGCCACTTTAATGCTCATAATGTCCTTTTTCTTAGCAAGTATAGTGCATATTGTTGACATAGATTTGTTGTACTGCCTAGCTAGTTCAACAACCTGTGCACCATTTTGATGTTTATGAATGCTCTCTTGTTTTTCCTCTATGGTCATTCTCACATGTGTTTTCTTGGCTTGAACCTTACCACTGGCTTTCTTGGGACTCATGGCAAGATATATCATAACAAATTTTATGTTCAAATAGCCAAAAATCCCAAAACAAATGTAATGCTTTACAAAGAATTCAGGCACGATACTTACTAGGCAGGAGACACTGGTAAACTGAGGCGCGATCACCATGCCACCACGCGCTAGGTCAGCCCATACGTATATCAACAAACTCCTTTCCCGAGGCAAAGTTTGTAACCCGATTCAAATTTTTCGAAGAAATTAGGCTCGTAACCCGAAAAGTTCATAAATATTCATTCGTAAGCCGAGGTGTCACTATATATAACTAAAAAATTAAACTCAGGATTACTTTCAACCCCCACCCCTTTTGCTCTACTCCATCGCCACCTACCTTCACCCCCCTCTATGATGTACTCTTCCATAGACACCTATCTTTGCCCCCCTCCTCCCCTCTACTCCTCCATCATCACCTACCTTCACCCCCCTCTATGATGTACTCTTCCATAGACACCTATCTTTGCCCCCCTCCTCCCCTCTACTCCTCCATAGACACCTACGTTCACTGCATATAATTCTCCCCTCTACTCCTCCATCGTCACCTACTTTCACCCCCCCCTCCGCTCAACTCCTCCAGGGTCGCAGACAATTTCACGAGCGTGAGAACTACGAGTTCTCTAACCACTCTCACACTCCTACTCTCTCACCAGTGAGGAGGAGGGAAGGAGGGAGGAAATGAAGGAAGAAAGGTGGGGGAGAGAGAATAGGCAGGGGGGAGGAGGGCCTAGATACATTTCTTCCATATAGATAGGTAGACTGAGGGAGAGCTGCTTGCCAAGAGCCCTATCAGACAGGCTTCCTATTCCTCAACCCTCCCTAATATGCCACATCCTGGTCAGGACAACTTGCTCGATTGTTATTCTTGGTGTGACTCGAGAACTGACCTCGAGGCGGGGCATGGGCATGGATTATCTCCCTGGGGCACGCACCTCCCTGCCCCAGCTCTCTCTCTCTCTCACATAATCTATCAAGGGTCTAACATGAGGTCATTGTGCCTACCAGAAGTGTATATGTCCAAGGGTGGCCACCTGTCTGGACCATTCAAATGTATAAACACGTAATTAGTCTATTAAAATTATATATAATGCTACAATTATAAATTAATTTGTTCATGGTCATTCGTTTATCAGTATTTTAATATGAAGTATATATACGCATGTATGTATACGTTGACGTACACATATATGATTATGTGTATGGAATGATTATGATTATGTGTAATCATATATGATTATATCTAATGGAATGCATTAGTAAGTGATGTGGTGGAGGCTGACTCCATACACAGGTTCAAGTGTAGATATGATAGAGCCCAATAGGCTCAGAAACCTGTACACCTGTTGATTGACGGTTGAGAGGTGGAACTAAAGAGGCAGAGCTCAACCCCAGCAAGCACAATTAGGCGAGTATATGAACGAATGCACATGTACACTTTCAAATGAATTAAGATACCTTGAGATAGACAATGACTTAGTTTAAATAGTTTAAACACATTATGGTACTGATTTTGACATGCTGATGTCTGGAAGGGAAAGGGGGTTGTGGGGGGTTATTGTCTGAGGTGGAGGACCAGAGGAGGGGGTCAGTGGAAGGATGGTGGCTGGAGGGATGCCATTGTTCTAATGGTTATGAAAACAATTATTGATGGCAGGAATTCAGTGGGTGTGTACTTCACCCGCACCATCACCATACTGTGCCCTGCTACAACCCCCCCCCCCCCCACTCCACCCATGCTGTGCGGGGCATATTACACATTATGGGATAACCGACTGTCTGTCCATTCCTGTCTGCTCGTTATGCTGCCCTTCCTTTTGAAAATTGTCTGCTTTATCGACTTGCTTCAAGACCACACGTTAGCCTCTTATCACGCCCTCTTACCACTCTCAGGGAGCCGGCTCTTCTATACAATAGTTACCACTCAGTCCCCAAGGTGAAAGAGTGTCCGGGCATATGACTTGTTACGTGTACTTATTTGCGATTCGTTTGGGCTGTCACGTGTGGTGATTAGTGTTAGGTAAGGCTAGGCCAGGTCAGGTCAGACTAGGCCAGGTCAGGTCTGGTCAGGTCTGGCTAGGCCAGGTCAGGCCAGGCCAGGCTAGGCAGGGTGAGAGAAGTAAAGCAGCAGGTACTTACGTTTTCGAGAAAGTAGCGGCGGTAGTATATTGTTGATTTAGATTCGACGACATCCTGAAGCTAGTAGGTGGCGGCCTCATCGCTCTCGAACTTCTTGTTGTTGTAGGGGATACGAGGCACACCCAATATCCCCCTTACATTGATCACATCGCACACTAATATTTTTACTATTTCGGACACCAGATTTGTCTGTTTCGTATATGTATAATTGTTCAATATTAAAACCACAATAGAATGCTCTTAACAGTTACAATTTTCAACTTAACAGCCATATAGTTGGCAAGAACGCCGCCCGCAAGTGCAAATGTCTCAGATGGGGTGAGATGTTTAATGGGGTGAGAATAGCTTGAGCTACCTCATCCCTTTGTGTGTATTTTACCTCAATAAACTTATTTCAATTTCAATTTCAATTTCAATGTCTCAGACCCTGTTGGAATATAACCAGTCTGTCAATCGGGTCAACCCAAGTGTTGCGTTTCCATGCGTTTCCAAAAGGGTCGCCCATGTTGGAATCGGTGAACGCCCTAGTAATATTGTTGAAAACATCTTAATAACTTATTAAACCAAAGGTCTTTTTATGTCAGAAGAACGGCAGAAACTAGATCTATATATGAAAACTCTTTCAGGACAAAATTTACAGTAAAACTAAAGATATTTGTAGTTGTATAAAAGTTGCATTTTTCATCGGTCGTAGAGCCGGAAATCCGCAATATTCATCTCAGAACAATGCTTATTTCACGCAGAATCGTTAATAAACGTAAGATTTTTATACGTCTCGAGAAAGATAGAAACATAAATTTACTTTAATCTAGTTTTACTTTAAATTTTGTCCTGAAAGAGTTTTCATATATAGATCTAGTTTCTAGATCTAAAGTTGCCTCTTTAAGTGGGCAAGATTCTGGTATGTATGTGCTTGTGTTAGGCAGGAATATTTACAGGTACAGTACTGCCTTGTAGATCTGGTTTAGCTCTGGAATGTCGGTGCTTAGCTATGGGAAACCACTAAATTCACCCTCAGAAAAAGGCATGTAATTATATTTAATGGTTAATTTTCTTTATACAATAGAGCACATGAGCAGCAAGAGTTATTACAGCTGTTTAAAGCCTTACCATGTGTTTTTTTTGTTTAAAGTATGAGCTTCCAATCATTTTACATCACTGCAAAGAACATGGGTAGACAGTGATGTAAAAATTCCCATTCATCCTTCCCTGTCCAGAATTTAAACCCAGTCATCTTACGAAAATTTCTTATAAGTATCTGTACCTGTTAAAATTTAATTCTTTGAGGCTAATTTTAGTACTGTATATGCTTTATATTTTAACCATAAATGCTGTACTTTTAAACATAAAACAAGCATGCAGTATCTATGTACGTACCAATGCTTTTGGTTTAATGACACAATTATTATTTAAGTATATTTATTAAAAGTTTCCTTAAAATACTAAGTACTTGCTCCAGTAGACAACAACTATTTACAAGATACCAAAAATACAAACGACCTAGCTTTATGAAAAATCCTCCATAGCACACATTATAGTTCATTTTGATTTGTAGGTTTCTTTCATTGTAATTCTTTCATGAGGAATAATTTTTGTAATCACCTTTCGAGATTCAATGAGGCGAGAGATTCCAATATTTTCAGTAATACCAGGTAAGGATTTAATGACTTAGGTGGAAGGGTCAAACTAATCTGGTAAACCTGGTGGTATTCGAGAGTCATGCTCCGAAATAACAAAGTGTGTAAGGACTAGTGATTTGGCTTGCCGGGGTGGACTGATATGGGCGCACACAGGCGTCTGGGGCGCATGGGCATCTTGCGGTGGTGTTGTGCAAAGAACACTTGATTATCCCAACGTCTGCATTCCATTACAATCATGAAACAGTCTCCGATGCTTTATAATACAATTATATAATGGAATTTTAATGCATGATATTGTATATTTATTACAATTAAACAAGGAAGAAATTTGTATGAATGATATTTGGATAAACAAGGTTTCAGTGCACCATGAAAAAAAAAAGAGGTGAGTTCTGCCCATGTGCCCCCGACGGCACAAGGCCACGCCCACTAGCCTCTGTCAATGTCAGCACCCTGGACGGTCTTTGCTGCGTTCTGCACGGGGGATCCCTGAGACCACTCGCCCTCTCGCCCACAAACCATCTTTTATTATGACAAGTACATAAAATTTAAATAAATATAATCTTTATAAAATCTCTGACATAAAGAGCAAAAATAAATTATTTCTGATATTTAGATTGATGGTGCAGGCGAGTAGGAAGGGGCCCCCGCACGCCATCTCGCGGCTGACCCATGCACCACTCTCATGAGGCCACCTCGGCTCTTTGGAATAATCCAGCAGCCTCAGAATTGCTCATTATTAAAATAATATCACAAGAGTATATCTTGTTTACCAAAAGGGCAATAATCAGCTTAGACATCAATGGAATGTTACCAATAACAGCCTTCATGAAAGTGGTGTGAAACAGAAAAAAAATATATCAGGAAATGTAATGCAAATAAATTAAAATCTCTTCTATAGAAAACATAGAACACTAAATTCAATAGTACCATCTCTTTGTCTCTTCCAAAATAATCTTGTGCACAGCGCAAGATGGAAGAGAGGCAAAACAACGACACAGTGTGAGCTACTAAAGAAAGTGGAAAGACACAGTTTATTGGTTTGAGAAGTAGTTTACCATAGACATCAAATCTGGTACGTTATGTAAGCCATAGGCAGTCGGAATGACCCCATCACTGCACACCATTTTTTGAATCTTTTACATAAGACTTAAGGCTTCTCGTGTACAATATATCACAAAAAGATGTCTCAGGTCGGGGGACCTCTGTTCAAGGCTATACTTGCACAACATTACAGATATTGGTCACAGTCTATTGTATATACTACTGAAAAAAAGTCCAGCATAAAAGCTTGCATTTCACTCTTATCTCACTTGTTTTTCCACCCAATGGTACCCAAGACAGTACAGTACAATTGATAGTTTAGTACCATGGAGCTTGTGCAACTTATCATCACAGAAGATATTACAGTTTTTGTAGCTCGTCATGTCTGACGCTATGGAATCATAGAGTTGTAAATAAGAAAAGAAAACTATTTTCAGAGAACATGACATAACAATTCTTCATATAAACAATTCTGATGTACAAATAAAATTTAGTCAACAATATTTGGAAAGGTACTGTATATATATATAAAATATAACATTATAATATAATGCAAGAGGTACAGTATATAAATTAAATAAAAAAGATGCATATAAATTGAGAAATTAAAGAAATATGAAATTGAATGTAAAATAACTCTATGGTACCACAATGCCACACTTAGTTGCTGGCTGACAGGTACAGTGTAACAGGTTGGTGGGGTGATGGTGTCATGCTTGGGCCTGTGCTGCAGGGTTGATGTGTGTGTGTGTGTGTGTGTGTGTGTGTGTGTATGTGTGTATATATATAAAATGTATGTGTGTATAAATGTCATACCTAATGTCCAGAACTGCACTACAAAGTTTAGAAGGCAAGGCAATTTTTTCTAACCGCCAGATAATTTTTCTTTCGTTAAAATCTTATTAATTTTCTTTTAATTATATTAAAAACATTAAATTACTAATTTATTTAAGCCTATTTTTCTATGTCAGGGAAAGCACTGGAATATTATGTATATTAATGTAAGATCAGTGTTACCTTAATTTTTAGCTAAAAAAATAAAAACTTGTATCTAATTGATGTACTATACAGTATCTTAAAATGAAAATGTTTATCAATAAACAAAATGAATTTTCCTAAAATAATGACAATTTAAAAAATTTTACTTGTTAGGCAACTCTGGTTATTAGGTATAAAATCCATGGTGTGTATGTGATCGATAAACTTTAAGAGTGATTTTGTTGTATAAACACCAAGAGTTACAAAAGTGAAACACGCAATCTGAATTCATGCCTGGTATTCGAAATTTGTTAATTAAAGGGTGATTGTTGTTGTAGTGTGTGTGGCACTTCTCACAATTCCTGGCCACACCACAGATCTGCTTCATTACCTCAGCTAACCCAGTGTTCTTAAATAGGTTCTTACTGTTGGGGATATAAAGCCTGTTAGGGTTGTCTATGTTCCCCTAGGCCATCTATAACAGCTGACTAACTTCTAGGTGTCTGTTTACTGTTTAGGTGAACAGAGGCATAAGGCATAAAGACATACCCAAACATCTTGTCCTGTATGTAATTGAACCTGGGACTATTTGGTTGCAAGTCAAGTAACCTGACTGCTGGGATACATTTGATCATTTTGACTTGCCTCAAAGAACCAGTGTTAGACAAATGCAAAGGAATGACTTGAATAAATAACATATTATGCACTTCAGAAGGGATAATGTTATACTATACTCTTTTTAAGAGTCTTACACAAGAGGCATGCATGCATTCATATAATGCCTCAGTTTTGTAACCCATAATGTTTGTATAATACAGTATTATATTTGCTCTTGAACTTTATCACACATTATATATATATTATTATACACACACGCACTGTATGCATACAAACGCATGTATATAAAATAGATTACTACTGTACTATGATTTTCAACCCTATCATGTAAGAGTATTTCAATCTGATTTTCAGAGTGTACTGGTTATCAAAAGTATATGAAAAATAGTGGCTGATGAGAAAGTAGAGGCAAGTAGTGAAACATGTAATAGGTAGCCACAGAACCCCACAGCCTCTCTGGCACTCCTTCAACACCCTCCCGTCGTGATCATGTTGCACAATTCCTCAGCACCGTGGAATTGTCACAGATTCACACAGCCACACAAAGACCAGAGCTCTCTAATACCACTGACTCGATTATCACTGGGGGTTCCTTCATAAACTGCCTTAGGCCAGAATTTATGCACAATCTTTATAAAACTTAAAACTTTAGTGGTATAATGTGACTGTCGAATGACTAGTAGGTGTCCAATACTGTCAGTCAACGGGCAATCGTATGCCATTAAAGCATTTATTAAAATAAAATAAAAATGACCTATTTCAAGTTACAAAAAACTGAGGAGAAATTTTGTTTTATGATGCATCAATTTGCATTAGAGAGTTTTAGTCTGAGGAGGCTTCTGGCACCTCTATTGCTGCTGCTGCTCCACCAATGCTACCACAAGTCAACACACTGCTGCTTCCTCTCACCATAGCCTCCATAATACACTCCTCAATTTAAGAAAAAAAAATATAAAAATAATATTGATAATAAAATAAAAATAATATTGATAAAAATAAAAATAATAATTCTAAATAAAATAAATATTAACTTCAGATAAATTATGGTAAAAAGTCGTCTAGCTCTATCTACAGAGAGAGCCGAGACTAGCCATAAAAGTAAAGGTAACAATATGCACCGGTTGCTATATTAAAAATAAATATGCAAATGTGCACTCAAACAAACCAGATTCAATCACATTCTTTGGACATTCAGGTAGTGAGAGGAGACACCAGAGGTAACAGCAGCAACAGGCGACGCTGGACACATGGCATGGGGGGAGATATGCTAAAAAAATACTGCTTCTGAGAGTATATCCACTGGAAGACAGTGTGTAGCTTCGAGTCCATGCCACAGCCTTTGGAGATCTCCCATCAGGTATACTGGCAGTGGACGCATTCACTCAACAAAAGGTAACTCATGTCATACATAATATATTTTTTCTAATCTACCCAGTAGTCTCACTTGGAAATTCTAATTACATTTGGTATCTAGGAATTATGTAAGTAGTGATATCTATTTAATAGAAAATCTATCCTTGAGTTATTTAAATTTACAGATTCATAGATTTACATATTCCAGATGAGTTTTGTTTGCATGGTGATGAATGAGTACACAAGGTGGGATGAGTAATTGACGTCCACTTGTCACAGCCATGGGGATATCATCACTTCGGAATCATAAACTACATATCCTATCTCACTGTTGCAGTAAATTGAATTGGTCCTTTATGTGCGGTAGTTTTCTTGACAATGTTCCGCATCTTGGCATATTATGAACCCGAAGAGATGATGCATACCTGAGGGAGATGCAGCAACTGACGCTGAAGACGAGGTTGCACTCCAACCTGTGTAAGAAGTTAATTTTTTAACGATTGATTACCTAGAATTTATTTAACGTACTGTACAGTCCTTTGATTTGTCTGAAATATATAAGATAATAAATTTTGTAATAATAATTATAATTTTTATTTAAAAATATGTAAAAGAATATTATACAGTGGCTCATATATGTTGGAGGTCCAATTAAAGCAAAAAGAAATTCTTGAGTCTACATCAGGTTAGGATAGAATAGGTTGGGTTCCTATTTTATAATGGTAGCTTCCATGACTTTGGGGTTTTATTTTACTGAATCCACATAAGTGAAATGTTTGTATAAATGTATCTCATGTGTTCGGAGCTTCTGTAACCACATGAGTTTCGATCAAAGCAAAAGAGATCCTCAGATCTGCATCAGGATAGGAAGGTTAGGTTAGAATAGGCTGGGTTCCTATTTTCTAATGGTAGCTTCTGTGACCTTAGGGCACTATTTTATTTAATCCACATGTGAAATATTTGTTTAAATTTAGCTTCCATGACCTCTGGGGGGAGGGTCCTTTTTTAAATTTAAATGTGTAGACTGTAGCAGGGCCTCAAATGGCTTGTATGTGTCCAGAGAAACTGGATACTCACAGGTTGGGCTTCCACCAAGCACACCTATCTTCTATTTCACCAACCCCCCTTTTGCAGAAATTGCTCAAGAGTGAGCAATTTTGAATCATGAATGTATCTCGGCTTTTGCCATGGCGGCAAATAGATCTAATGTTTCGATCATCTATTATGCACCTTATAACCCATCCTGTGAGCAGTAGTGGAAAAGGTTAGAACCTCAGGCCGGGCTTGGGGAGTAAAACTCCTGAAACCCCTCTCCAGGTAGGCGCATAATGGGCTCAGGAACTGAATCCCAAACTTCAGTTAGCTAAGCAAGTTAGTCTTGCTTATCTATTTAGTTCATTTGTAAACATATGTGTCAAAAGCTATTAAAAGTTTTCGTTTAGTTTATTATGGACCCCTTTTAACCCTCTTGTGGATGAGTAGCAAAAAGGTTTGAGTGTTACATAAGGGATCCCAAGAACCAGACCACATCAATCTCTAAGCTATGTAATTTTTGTCTGTGGTGAGCTAGATACATATAATTTGATTTACGTTTCAAGTAGCCCTCATTTGCACAGTGGGCAGCCAGGATGTTTATAATCGCAGGCATGCCCTACCTACAGTAAGCAACTTGAGATACTTGGCTAAGATTTTTGGTTGTACGTCAACCAGAAATTAAATATTATGCATTTCCTGAACATTTGTGATAAAAGTATTTCTAAATTTTTATTTGCATTGGTCAGATTTACTTCAGCAAGTGACAAACTCTCTAAGGTACTGTACTTGTAGCCAAGTCTAAGGCTTAGAATAGTAAAGTCTAGAAGTACGCTGGCTAGTGAGAAAATGGTTTTTGTTTAGTGAATGTTAATTATCAAACACTTTTCGAGGAATTCATATTGTTTGTTGATCGAGGTTCACCTGCATCACAGTTAAATATATGCCACTAACAGGCCCTAACTTCAATTCTGAAGGTCGGATATCTGGATAAAATCTTCAGGGTGTCAAAACTAGTTTTTCTCTGCATTTGGCCAAACCTGAATGTCGTAAAGACTTATTTATATTTGCCATTCAACCATAGTCAAGTTTCACATAAAATGGGTGAAGAGAGGTTAGCCAGCTCTCCGGATCCTGTTGAAAGACTTGACTGCTATTCAGTGGCAACTGTTTGATGTTAGTTTATAGAGCATTATGTGGCTATAATTGTTGTCAATTATCACTTGTCAAGGTGGTTGATCTGTTCTTTGGTGTCATAGTGAGCAGTATCCTTTCAATGTGGTAACTGAGCTCTACTCTCAGACCCAATACTACTTGCTAAAAATAGCAAAACAATTAAAATCTCAACTTAATCTAAATGTGCTAAATCTCTCTCAGGTCTGATCTCAGTCTGTATAAATTGAAGTTAACTGAATTGTGCAATCCAGCTAAGAGTATTATTAAACTAAATACTACACCAGAGGGAGAACATACCTTAACTAATGGTCCCCTCTTAGTAGCTCGAAGAGGAAATTGAAACTTGGCACATCTCCCTCCTTCTTCTTCATAGAGAGCATTTCCTTACTCGCCTGTGGCAGGAAAAATTCTGCATGAAAAATGTGCACATAAAGAAACCAAGCATTCATTAAATCATGCATGTGATACATTAGGAGGTGAAGCAGTCCCAGAATTATCAGTGTGATAGCAATTAACGTGGGTGGCATCACAGAAATATGAATCTATGAAGACTTAATCACTTGAATTTGAATACATTATTAAATAAAAACTGACAGGTGCAGTCACAATTTTGCTAATTTGTTTGTATATTAACAACTGACGTAAAGTTGTTCCTAATATTATCTCCTTAAGAGAGCTTCATAAATCATGCCCACCACAATGATAAATGTCAGTTTTCCGAGTCAAAATGTCCTGCACCATACACTTATCCCAATTATTCTACCTCACTTGCAGTCTTAACGTTCTTCATTATTCTTTTAGCATTTACTCATTTCAAATATTTGTAATAAATCAAGACTATCTTAAATATTGTAGCCATATCTGATTTTTTAGACTAATCTATCAAAATTCAAATTTCAAACTACAGTATTTAATGTTTGTTAATTACTTGAATCTTAACCTTTCTAATACAGTTCTTGAGTCTTTAATAAACATCAAAATGTTCTTAAGTTGGCTTCTTGATAGATTTGTTTTTATGGAGTTTTTTTTTTTTTTTTGTGTGTGTGTATAGTACAGGAACTTCCAAGCCCAAAGATTACTGGGAGGATGGGACATCACAAGCATAGCTCTCAACCTGTAACTACACTAAAGTAATTACAGGTAAATCACTACTGCTGCATCCACCCCACACCACACCACACAAGACCACACTATGCCATAGAAAAGGAAGCTAAACACACGTGTTCTTACCTGACACGTGCGCTGAAGTTCGGGGATGCGGAGGAGAAGTTCTCCGAACTTCGGAGGCAAGTGTGGATAGTGCGTGAGTGTATACTCTTGCAGCGCTTGGACCACCTTCTTTTGGGAGTCCCGAACCTTCTCCCCCTCTTGTAGCCCTGAGACATCTGTAAATGTGTAACTGTCAGACAAGTTTCAAGTACTTGCTTGGGTTGCTGCTGTGAAGAAATAATTTAAAAATTATCAACCAATCAATTGCAGTACAGAATATGAAGAATAAATAGTACTGTATAGGGAAATATAAATATTGGGTAAGAAATAGTTTATAATTTGATGATAAAGAACTTAAGCCTTCTTCACTGAGATATTTTGGCAATAAAAACCCCTGCTCATAGAAGTTCATAATTGCAGGCATATGAGATTAAATATTGCTATAAATAGTACATCTTAAGAATGAATTCAGAAGCTAGGTGTTAATATGATCATGCAACTTTGTCAATCAATACCATGACAAAATGCTCAGTGGCAAGACAAATGGCTCGAGAATCCAGGGTGCAACTGGAGGACACCAGGGCCCACTGACACACACAATAGTCCATAGCCAGGGATCAAGGCATACTTCCCGGGGCAAGAACACCAATCAGTCCACCAAATATCACTCAAGATCAACTACATAGAGTACACTAAAAAGCTGCGAACATGTGAAAACAAAGCCAAAGAGACAGTAGTTTAAGAAAATATAGAGGCCAAAGTCAAAACTGGAAATCCCAAGAGCCATACATCCAGCTTGCCAGGGATACCAGAGTTGAAAATAGCTAATAAATCACACAAATTAGGGAAGGCGAAAATCCAACCACTGGAACCGAGCAGAACCACTGCATTTGAGAAAGTGTAGATGTTAGCAACTAGACTAGCACCAGAATTGAGAAGGCTCATCTTTGAAGGCAGGTCAAGAGAACTCAACCCTGCAACTTCAGAAAAGAAGACAATGGATATGTTCACTATACAACATACTGGAGGAAATAGATAATGTGAACAAGGACAGCCTATTTAAATTAGGAACTAACACAAGATAATATTGTGGAAACTGGATATGTAATAGTCATAGAGATATAAGGAAGTTCTTGTATACTTTACAAATGGTTAACTACTGGAATGTACTGAAAAAAGCAGCTGCCAGTTACTTCCGTCCACAACTTCAAGAAAATCTAGGACATAGAACTTGAATGTTAAGAGATACAATAATTATTGTAGGTATACAAAGTTAGGAGGTGGAGTATAAAGAGCTCAATCTCATTCCTCTGTAATTACTGATAGTTTTACCATACTTAAAACATTCATCTTCCAAGAGAACATCCCAATTTTACTATAAGATTTTTAACATAACTTTATACAATTCAATTCTACATGATCTCTCCAGAAATGTATACCCCATGTAAAATTGAATCCTACTTTACTCTTGGACCAATCACCTGGCAATATGGTTTTCCATAGTTGGAGAGAGGAAGCCTGTTGGGCTTATTGAGGTCATCCTAGACCAACTACTGACCTTCCCCAGGATGCAGCCTACAACAATTGACTAACTCCCTGATGTGTGTTTATTGCTATGTGAACAGAAGCATCAAGAGATAGAAGTGTTTGGGCAACTTTTCTTGTCACACAGCAGAAATTGAATAGTTTAGGACTAAATACAAATATAACAGTAATTTAACTGGTACATATATTTTTAGAAAATATACACAAGTTATCTTTTTTAAAGAAAATATTATTAGTGTCTTACCAGAAGACAGGAGAACAATGACCTTCATGGCCATGTATTCATACTTGTCGACCTGAAGGCGGCTTAGCTGATAGGTTAAATTGAGCATACGCTCGATACATGGTCCTATACCCATGACCTCTGCTTGTTGTAAGGTCATGGTGCGACCTGAGCTGACTCTGATTTCACCTGGGGAATCCATAGAACGGAAGCAACAAGAGAGGAGTAGCAGCTCACACCAGGAGTTGATCAGCAAGCATATTTGGTCATCAATCTGTAAACATTAATAATATTATGAGAAAGGAGTTGCATTTATTATAATGAAGTACAGTGTAATTTACATGAGCTAATTAGTCTCGTATCTGTTCAGCACACTGGGGATTCCGGTTTTCTGATGGCTTCATCAGTTTTTCCTATTGATTATTTACATTTTTCTAATCCTCAATAATGGAGCACATCATTGTGCATATATAGACAAAAAATAATATGTAAGCAATGCATTTGAAATATACTGGAAGTGTAAAATAGTGAAAAATATTTAATGGGAAAAATATGATATATATTGTATATCTTATTATTATATATTACATATAATAGATTTATATAATATATTATATATATATATATTATATATATATATATAAATAATAATATGCGCTAGGCTATTGTGTAGTTTTCTTTATACAGTACCTAATTAACTTACCGTAATGTGCCTGAAAAGTGGAAGAGATTTACACCACTTGACAATCTTGTAGAGTCGATGGTCTGCAATGTGGCACAAGTTGTTCAGGAAGTCTGGCGAATTGTTTTCCATAGCCTGGCGAGCTGCCTGCTCAGACTGTCGTAACTCTGCCATCTCACTCTCACTACAGTGCCATAAGTGCTCAACATCATGGATTTGCTGGGATGCCAAATATATTTGTAAGTAATTTTAAGCATTTCCCAAGTTTTTATGAGTTTGTACTAAGGCAATAATATAATATACTAAAAATTAATTTGAAAATAATGAACTTTTCCTTTTTTAAATACATCATTTAACCCTTTGGCTGCAACATTTGACATCACTAAAATTAAAATAAAATTCTCTGATATTCATGAATAACGATCAGTATTGAATGTAATAAAATGCCCTTTTTCTGCAAGGGCCCAGCATTGCAAACACTTGGTATAGTACAGTTCAGAGTTAGGCCATATTTTCTAGCATTTCTGCACAATCTTAAACACATTTTTTTGAAGAATTTTAATGGTAGGTATAGTAGTTTTATCTTTATTAGGAACATAATAAAGTAATATTAAAGTAATATACGTAATAGTAATATCTTTAATAAGATGGAACAAAGAATAATTTTCCAGTTACAAAATGACGTCTCTCATGACCCCACACATAAAACTACTCCCAGGAACTGTGTGTCAAACATGTAGCCAAAGAGTTAAACATACTAGAACAGAGAATACTACATCAAACAACCAGCTAAATAGGCACAAGTTACCTACATTACAACAAAGTTAAATGATTCACCACTAAAACATTAGGTGAGTTACACAAACTGTTCTGTACCATCATTAAATGATTCTATTATGACCATGCACAACTGTTGTCTGCAAAATATTTGACTTACACAAGTACTGTATCTAATTATTAAGTAGTATTAGCAATGGTGACAAAACTCATTGGTGTAACAAATATTACATTTTTATAAGTTTTAATGCAAAAGATGGTACAGTACTGTAGTCTGTGAATGGATATATCATTCAAATTCCTTCCTCATCATCACTGATACTTACCTGCAAGAGTAAAGGTATTGGTCTCTTCTGATTAGATGGTGAGTGTTTAAGTTCATCACTGTCAGAAGGTTCAGCTTTTACTGAAGTGGCATCAGGAAGCCTCTGTGGATCAAAATGATGTGCAGAGGTGGTAGGTGTCACTAACGTAGGTGGAAGAGGATAAGGCGCACACTGATATGTACTTCTCCCGCCACGTGTACGGTCTTCACGGATGGCTGAGGAAAATATGTGCATCCAAATGAATAAATAGCTGAAATTTAACTCATATTATTACATTACTAATGAGTAGACAGTACTCCTTGTAGATCCCTGACCAGATATATGAAATTTCAACAGAGATGGGTGAGGCACAAAGGAGAAGCCTTCTTATAGCAGTGTACTTTACAGGCTGATGATCATCATAATAATGACCGTTACTATGTTGATATCAGTACATAAGTGCAGCTCTAAAATTCAGTTTCTTACCTTCTAGTTTCATACCCATACACAGGCACTTGTCAAATCTACAGGCTGGACACTTTTTTCGAGTGCTGGTTGTGACTGGACAAGAAGCACCCCGCATGCAGACGTAATTTTTCTTGTTCTGCACCGTCCTCTTGAAGAACCCTTTACATGATTCACATGAGAAGATGCCATAATGGAAGCCTGAGATTTTGTCTCCGCAGATGGGACACGGGCTGCAAGTGCCATAGAAGGTATGTAGAGTACAGTTTCTCATTACTATGTTTAACACATTAACCATGAAACTAAGAGGAACACAGAAAGATGAACCATTTATACAGAACTTACAATAGGTTACTTCATGTATAGCAAAGGTCTCCTTACCATAAAAAATTTAATTACAGTAAATCTAAAAATCTGAAATTATTTTAAGAAATACATTTGGGACAGTGATATGATAAGGGTAAGGAGGTGCGGAGGTGAGCGAACCTGTTGATAAGTTGTTGCCTGGTGATGCCAGACTGTGCTGCTATCACAGAGTGTTGTGCTAGATCTGTTGTTAGCCGGTCATCATCTTTAGGGTCCTTGGAGGAGTCTGGGTGACCTATGAGACTGTGGCTGTCTCGAAGGTCAAGGGGTGCACCATAAAGTACCCCAGGAGCTGCCCCTGGATATTGTGGCACACGACCCAGGTTGGGCGACTGATGAGTTGGCATTGGGAAGTTGATATGCCGTTGTTGGATAGGAGACTAAAAAAAAAATAAAAGTGATATAAATGCGTTATCAAATTATGCAAAATAAAAAACATGTTAATCATATATTGTACAGAATATTGTATTTATTCCTTTTTCAATTTCTTATTAAGGCTCATATGGGGGTCTCGGTAATACAGTTGGATTAATTCTCGACTCGCACTCAGCAATCCCTGTTCGAATGCCAGGCAAAACAAAAATTGTTAGGCATGTTTCCTGTCACTAACAGCCTCTTTTCACCTAGCAGTAAATAGGTACCTGAGAGTTCGTCATCTGTTATGGGTCACATCCTGGGAAAGGTTATGCAAGGCTGCCTGTCCTCAACACAATGAATTATTACTATTATATCCACAGTGCCTAAAATAGATATATTGCCTGCCAAATTATGAACTTCTGTGGCTTCATTTACAATTTCTGCAAATAATCTGAAAATTGGATTACTGTAATAAATGATGATGAAATATGCTATAGCAACGGGAAAGAAACAGTTGACCTTGATGCCCTATACATTAAGAATACACTCAAAAAGCTACACTAGACAAATATTGTTAATAGTAAGACAGTACAATACTGTATTTTTAACACATTGCTTTTCCTTCAACACCAATAAATGAATTCTCTAATTACATTAAGAATGAAAAGGCCCACAATCTACAAGCAGGTGTGGGGTCCTGGCTCATAACAACAAACTCAGTGATGCTAAAGTATATTTAAGGAATACAAATATAGTTGCCAAGTATTTATGGGGGTATAAACCTGACTTGCATTGAGAAAATGGTAGACTTTAGATCATGATAGTGAAAATTTAAGTGTCAGGATGAAGACTGAGACAGTTAACAAAATTCCAAGAAATATTTCTTATAGCTACTTTTATGTGTAACTCACTTCTAATCTGCTTTGGAGATAGTTCAACACAGAATTAAGAGCTAAGTCCCAGAGCTAAGTCGACTCTCTTACCACAAACGGTTGTGGGTCACAGGGCTAACAATACTGCAAACCAGACATGGCAGGGTTGATCCAAACCACTTCTTTAAAAGGTCAAATGTAACACAATGAACAACAGCTTCAACTCAACAAGCCACAATGTATGACAGAAAACAGATGATTTTTCTCCCATAGGGCTATAAACACATGAACCGCCTTACTGCTGAAGCAGTAAATGCCAAAACACTGATGAATTTTAAAATCCAGCTTGATAAAATTGTCAGGACAAGCCACCGGCCTCCTGTCCTTGTTGAGGCCACTGAAGATATAATGGTCCTCAGACAAACTCTGGTAATGCACTGTATATTTGTTGGTTGGTGCTTATGCATAGGTGGTCAAAAGAGAACTTGATAAACACCCCCAATGGATACTTGATCAACCAGGCTGTGATTCATACATCAGATTGTGAGCAGCTGTGTCTTAACAACCTGGTTGACCCAGCCCATCATAAACAAAGGCCAAAGTCCATTCCATACACCTACTAAACCCCGTTTATGAATGCAAAACAGTTTACACATGACTCACAACTGATGACGTTCAAACACTTATTGAACAAGTGCTTCACTGACGACTTTTGTTCAAACCACAACACTTCACCCATGTATTATAAATACAAATAATCAGCAACAGAACCTATACACCTAACCTAACCAAACCATTGCTTAATTAAATATGCACAATATGCTAATATAGAGCAAAATTTATATTTGAGAACATTCCCATTTTGAATGAACAGCATGTTAAGATTGATGAATGTGTCTTTGGGGTCAATCACTGGCTGGAATGGACATGGTCTAAGACAGCACGTCCTCGCTTTTAAGGATCCAAGCTCGTTAATCCAGCAGCCAAACCCTCTGTTCATGAATGAAAAGCAGTATACACAAACAACCCGTCCTCGACTCAAGTCCGTTACATCCAGCAGTCGACCCCATAGGCGCATTCATAAATTTTTACATGCTGTTTATTCATAACAGGAATTTTCTCAAATAAAAATTATTATAATAGCATATTGTGCATATATAGGCATATGTTAGGTGTTTAGATTCTATTGGCAATTGGTTGTATTTGTTGTACATTAGTGAAGAACCCGTCCTCGACCTGAGTCCATTCCATCCAATGGTCGACCCCACAGGCGCATTCATAAATTTTCACAGGTTGATCATTCAAAACAGGAAATTTTCTCAAATATAAATTAATATAATAATATATTAGCATAGTGTGCATATATAGGGATAAGTTAGGTGTTTAGGTTCTGTTGGGGATTATTTGTACTTGTAGAACGTGGGTGAAGCATTTACAGCGTTGTGGTTTGAAAAAAATTCATTAGTGAAGTACTTGTTCCGGAAGTGTTCAAACTAAATCAGTTGCCAGTCGTGTGTAACCCGTTTTTTCATTCATAAACGGGGTTTGGCGGGTGCATGGAAACACTTTTGGGTCTTTGTTTGGAGGACACGCTGTGGGTGAAGCATTTACAGCATTGTGGTTTGAACAAAATTCGTCAGTGAACCACTTGTTCCGGAAGTGTTCGAACGAAATCAGTTGTGAGTCGTCTGTAAACCGTTTTTCATTCTTAAACAGGAGGTATGGCGGGTGAATGGAATCACTTTTGGGTCTTTGTTTGGAGGATGGGCTGACACAAGATTTACAACTGATGGCTTGCGAACACTTCGGGAACAAGTGCTTCGCTAGCTTTCACTGTTCGAACCACAATTCTATAAATGATTCACCCACGTACTTCAAATACAAATAATCGCCAATAGAACCTAAACACCTAACCTACGCCTAACTATACGTAGAATTTGTATGTATAATAATATTAATTTATATATGAGAACAAATCAATTTTTAATACACAGTATGTTAAAATTGATGAATGCGTCTGGGGAGGACGGCCGCTGCTATAAACAGCAGAGTGTGAGGCCTGGCTGGGTTGACCAGACCACTGATCAGAGACCGGGCCGCGGGGACGTTGATCCTCTGAACCAACAAAAAGATAGGTCATGACCTTAATAACCCTCCAGAGGCTTATAATCCTCAAGCTTAACACTTGATCATAACAAAAGTGAACTGTGTTTTGGAAACCCCCTGATCTTGTTAGTTTAGCAACATTGAGACAGTGAGGAGAGTATGGCGTGAATAAATTCAACGCTCACCTGAGAGGGAGAGTAGTGTGTTGGGGATATAGGTGAAGGGGCTGAGGAGTAGCTGTTATAGGAGCCGCCATATTGAGAAGCATCGCTGTTGTTGCGACTCAGTCCTGTTGACGGTGTGTGGCTGTAAAGAACAGAGAATACAACATTAGAATAGTTGTACAAAAGTAAAAATAGGAATTTTTAACATGCGCTCAAACACTAAGTACTTTTATTCTACGCTTGAAATTTATGTTTGTATAAAAGTGTTGAAATATTTAGTGGGTTATTTCAAGTTCAAATACGTTTGAGACAAAAAGATACAGTTCAAAAGGATAGATTAGCTTAGGCTATTTCTACCTTCTACTTCAGGTCCCTTAATTAAGGGGCTCACAAATCCATTGAGTACAAATCCACAAATCACGGTACATAACTCATATTTTACATTACACATTAAATTGATCAACACTGCATATAAGCGACATAGAAATATAGGCTCTACAGTATACGTGACCGCTGTAAATCTCTAGCATGGTGCCCGTGTTCATATTCTCGCCAACAGGAGATAAATTAGTCACGTGGGCGCAGCAACTGTGTGGAAAGTGGTCACAATGTCCTCGTAGTTTATGACGCCTTCCTGATGAGTTACGTATTTGTCTTCTTGACCACAAACTATTAACTTTGTGGTCGTATCATATTGTAAATTTTAACTTCTGATTCCATGATGTGATCTTGCTCGTTTCTTTTCCAAAGGGAACTTTAACCGGATGCTTTGGAGAAGTCCGAAACTGCCTTTGCGTTTCTGCCCGAAACGCTTTGCGTAATAGTGGCTTTAGGCATTGTATGTACTAGCTCTTATCTATAAAGCCAACAAACTTTGTAAAATCTCTTTATGTATGTACCTTTGCCTAAATAAAAATTATTATTATTATTATTATAAGTCTCAGTAGTTTCAATAAGGTCTATATATGTTGTCATCCACACTTCCGTGGAAATAAACATTCATTCCATTCACCTAGGTTCTTGGAGACTCGAACCGTGAACTCCAATACTCAATAAAGCTTCGGCCTCACACACGTGGGGTCCACGGTTCGAGTCTCCTAGAGCCCAGGTGAATGGAATATCTGCATACATTTTCTAGCTAGGGTATTGTACCAGCATCAAAATATTGTGGAAGACCGAACAAGGGTTTCCAAGAGAACTATCGAGGAGCGGCATCTTATCACTCTCGTGTCCCCAAGATTTTCATAATTCACCATAATTGTTCTGGTGATACCCGTCATACCACACGTGTTTTGCTGGGGTCTCGAAACTCTTGCCGAATCTCGATTTTTCTCGATTCTATTATATCTTGTTATTAATGTCGCACATCCACTTGTGTTGATCATTCAAAAGAAGCAGAGGCATGGTGACCGTTGTTCAACAACAGATAGTGTGCCTATTACATAAACGGCGTGACTGCAATTATTTAAAATAGGTAGTCTGCAGACGGCGTAGGCTACTCTGTTGTTTTTCCTGACCACACTTACATGTATCGCCTGCCTCTGGAGACTAGCATCTTCACAGCGGAACTTATGCTAATCTCTATGCTCTTCGTCTCCTGCTTTTTCGTTGTCAATCCTACTTTGTGGTTGTAGTTGACTCTCGTAGTGCCCTCATGGCTCTGGAGTCCTTTAATCCAGTCCATCCGGTCGTCGTCGAGATTCAACATTGGCTGTCTCTTATCTCCAGTAGATTTAAGGCAGTTGAGTCTTTCTGGGTTCCCAGCCATATTGGTATCTTTAAATGAGCGTGTGGACGCTGCCCGCTAAAGAAGCTATCCGCACTTGTCCCATCTCCCGTAAAGGTATTCCTTATTCCTGGGTGAATAAGATACTTTTGATATTGTTCGCCTTATGCATTTCTGTTCTCGTATTAGCATCCTTGGTGATATTTAGCGCCCTCTGATTATTCCGCACATTTGATGGTGCTTCATAGCCTTCCCGATTTGGTGCCTTCTTTTGATAATTACTTAAAATAGACAGTGTTTATATTTCAACACACACACACACACACACACACACACACACACACACACACACACACACACACACACACACACACACACACACACACACACACAAACAAACACACACCCTCGGTATACAATGCACTATACACGAGTGTCAGATGACTCACCTGTAGGGGGAGGAGAAGCCCGAGACGTGTCTGCTGGGTCCTGGCGACTGTGTCGGAGAGTAGAGGTGGGTTGGGGAGTGGGTGTGAGGGTGGAGGCGTGGCAGCAGGGGGCTCTGACTGGGCGTGTAGGGCCCTGGGTGAACCTCGCACCCGGAGTCACTTCTGGCAGGTACCGGGGAGTCAGTGTGTGGAGCTGGCTGCGAGGAGAACACCGTGCCCTCGTCACAACACTCCTCTACCTTCACCTGCAACACAAAGCAAACCATCCTTAAGTCCTGGTGTTGTCTAGCCTAATTTACACCCCTAACGCACTCGCAGTACTTGCAACACAACTCTTCTTCTCTCAAAGCAATCATAGTTAAAGAAAAACTCTGAAGCGGAGATGGGAAAATCCAACATGTTGAAGGTGGAGACAATAATGGCATGCAGGTGTGTGTCAGGCCGACGGTACACGCGACACTGCCCTGTACCTCTGTAGCACGGCCTCTCACAACGGAAACAGCAGTATAACGTGTGCCTTAACACTTCCATTGTCTTAGTTTGATACAATAAATGTGGCCAGTTGAGCATGTCAACAAAGATTGTGGCGAGTGCACCACGAAAGAGTACGACACCCCCCCTCCCCCCCCTCTCTCTCTCTCTCTCTCTCTCATATTCATTCATTTATTTATGTTGTCGCTGATCAGGCAGTGTAGCACAATGAAATTATTAATAACGTGCATAATACTAATGAAATGGTAAACTACATTAAGATCGCCTTGACAAGAACACCTTCAGAAACACCATAGCAGAGGATGTTACTTTCCCCGATACATCAAGAGTGCATCATTGTCTACAGGAATGCGTAGACATGTACAATTGTAAATGTAATACTGACGCCATCCAGGGCCAGTGAGCCCAGAACTTCACACACTACGACTCCTCCAAGAAGAGATCTAAGGATTAGAAGCCAAAAAGAGTGATTCATTGTGAAGATGTCTGTCTGGGCCAACATAATCTCCACCCTGGGTATCACCACTGGTATCACCTGAAGGTACTACCACTGGTACCACCTAAGTAATATTCCCCTACCCAAGCAGCGATACAGCTTAATATAGCTTGATAATAGACGAGTACCAAGAAGAGCAGTGGCCTAACTGGTTCCGTTAATGTCGAGCTGATGACTAATATTCTCATAATGTTCGCTCAGCCCCACACAGCCATGCCCAGAATGAGGCATTTACGCATTCACTTACGATAATCCCTACTTCTGTTATGGGCTTCGAAACTTACCAATCCAAGCTTATTGTTATAAAGTCCTCGTAGTGCGTCACGGCTCATAAGACTATTGAATAAATGTAAACAAAGCCGCCATGATTATCGAAAGATGCACAGGTTTCGTAAGTGGATGGATAAATGCTTGATTTGTCCTAGCCGTGCCTTCCAGCCTTACTTAATGTATCAAAGCATTTTGGTTCACTGTGATCACTAAATGTTATACTATCCCCGTTATTGGAGCATTACTGATACATCTGAAATGGGATGATATACAACATTATCTGTCTCAAGGCCACTAACACTCTAGTGGTCCCAACGAGAACAGAAAGCCGGCGGCTTGTTAAAAGTTCTCCATTTTTCCTGATGATTTTTTCAAGCTGGATTTTAAAATTCAGTGTTTAGGCATTTACAGCTTTGGCAGGTAGGCGGTTCCCTGAGTTTATAACTATGGGTGAAAAAGCATCTCCTGTTTTCTGTCCTGTATTGTGGCTTGCGCTTGAAACCGTTGCTCATTGTTTGTAACATCTGACCTTTTGAAGAAAGTATGAAGTATACGAGGGAGTTACACGCGTGAGAGGCTATACACATCTTGTATGGGCAGTTGATTGACAGTTGAGAGGCGGGACCAAAGAGCCAAAGCTCAACCCCCGCAAGCACAATTAGGTGAGTACAATTAGGTGAGTACATCTTCGCTGGCAACACAACACTTCCTTTAGTCGCAAGTGACGTTATAGCCCCCCCCCCTCCCCTCCCCTCCCCCTCTCTCCAGGCAAATCTGGACAACCGTTGGTGTAACATTGAATCATTTTATATGTTGATACTGCGTTGATATTGCGTTGATTTAACGTTACTCTTATATATATCATTTGACTTGGCAAGGTTGCACCATAGTCAGTATTCCTGCCAAGGTCTTACGGTAATTATCTTTGCGGTGTGCACACAGTAAACAGTTTTATTTGCAGGAGGTGTGGGTAACGTTGGCGGCGCTGGCGTGGGAGACCAAGCAGGTGGGTGTAGGAGCCTGGGGGGGGGGGGTGATGGTGGTGTGGGAGGGAGGGGGGGGGAGTGTTATGGAGGCGGCGTCAGGAGGTCTGGTGAAGCTGCCGCCTTGAACGCTCGGTACACCCTTGTGTACCCCGCTACCACATCCCTCCTACGGTACCCTTCTACCACATACCCTTATGGGGTACCCCTCTACCACATACCCTTATGGGGTACCCCTCTACCACATTCCCTCATGGGGTACCCCTCTACCACATTCCCTCATGGGGTACCCCTCTACCACACATCCTCATGGGGTACCCCTCTACCACATACCCTCATGGGGTACCCCTCTACCACATATCCTTATGGGGTACCCCTCTACCACATCCTCATGGGGTACCCCTCTACCACATACCCTCATGGGGTACCCCGCTACCACATACCCTCATGGGGCACCCCTCTACCACATACCCTCATGGGGCACCCCTCTACCACATACCCTTATGGGGTACCCCTCTACCACATCCCTCCTCTTCAAGTTGTACCCAAAACCCCCCACCCCTCCTCCCGCCTTGGGCATCTCGCTACTAATATTGACAAGTGTTCAGTTTGAATTAAAATACCATTATAAGGAGCTACAAGTACTGCTTAAAAACGTCTGAATGCAGATACACAAGTGTCCGCAAGGTTAAAATATTAACTTTACTCCGTTCACTTACATCTGTGATATATTTTAGTCGTGCTTTGTCTTAGATCATATACATTTTCTAACCAATCATATTTATTTACAAAAGTAAATATTAGTGTTTACAGTTAAATTTTCTGTAGGAACATTTAAGTTGTATCGTCTGATGGGACGGTGGAAACACCACGTGTTACATCATATCTTTAATGTTAAAATCAGTAATGATGCTTCATCTGAATGTCCCCGTCTTGTTCACATACGCAATAGGTAGTCAGACCATTACTTAATTATTGCATTCACAATTGTCCTACACTTCACATCAATATTGAACACAAGAACAAAAGAATGAAATAAAGTGAAGAAAGCCTACTGCTCCATGCGAGGCTGCACTTTTTACATGTCCTCTCAGGCTTCATGAGATCCACTTTAATGTATTCCCAGAGATGGTGTTGCTGTGGCATCCACCACAACACCCGCAGGTGCTGTGGCTTCTACCACAACAGCCGCAGGTGCTGTGGCTTCTACCACAACAGCCGCAGGTGCTGTGGCTTCTACCACAACAGCCGCAGGTGCTGTGGCTTCTACCACAACAGCCGCAGGTGCTGTGGCATCCACCGCAACAGCCGCAGGTGCTGTGGCAGCTACCGCAACAGCCGCAGGTGCTGTGGCTTCTACCACAACAGCCGCTGTCTCATTCCCACGGTAACTTACTTGTAATATTTATTGCAGTGTCAACTCTCGCTCTATCCGACGAAAACAGATTCATTTTTAGCTGTAAATAACTTCCTGGCAGTTAGGCAACTTAGGTTGTTAATTATATCCTGAGAGAAGACCAGTCATTGGCCTAGACCCTTGGGGGGGGGGGACCTCTGTAGGACTTCCTACTAAACTAAAAAACTGTCCGTCCACGGTATTATGAAAGCATGCATAAAATTACCAACTACGTGTTGACTAGACCACACACTAGAAATTGAAGGGACGACGACGTTTCACAATCGACTTGAGAATGGTCCAGGACGGACCGAAACGTCGTCGTCCCTTCAATTTCTAGTGTGTGGTCTGGTCAACATACTTCAGCCACGTTATTGTGACTCATCGCCTGCTTACCAACTACGTCCTGCTTAGCCGACACATTTCCAGTATTACGATTAGTGCTGCAAATACTGGTAGGCCTATTCTTTCATCAACATGCAGAGCGAGTGGGCAGTGTTGTTATAGGACAAATGCACGAGACATGGCTCGAGTGCCGACATGCTAGCGTGTTGTCTCATCCTCCCGCCTAGCCTCCAGGAAGGTTTTCACCACGGAGCGGAAACCCATCCCGCTATACAGTCACGCTCCGGCGACACCGTGTGCGGACTTTGACACTACCGGCCGGCCTCGCCGCTCATCTACTTTTGTGGCTTCTTTCCTAAAGACGGTGATGTTCTCTTTCCATCTGGTTGCTATTTTGTTTGTGTGTAAATGTTATCTATGAGATTCCTCATTTTGCTAATTGTGAGTTGGCCTGTCGGGAAGGTGTGAGAGTCGCTCCTGGTCGACTCAACGACCTTGGTGGATGCCCCCATCCCCGCCCCTCCCCGCTTACCACATTCCCATGCCTCGCTGGAGCTTAAAAATATCACTTGTGCTTTGAGGGGGGAGGGGGGTGCTTTATGGGGTAATGGCTGGGTGAACGGCCTCCCTCTGGCACTAAACAAACCATTGCTCCCTCGTGTCCTGACGAGCGAGCAGCCCTCTGCTACACATCTTACTACTCGTAAATACCACGATTCACTACCTCCAATTATTACAACGGTTCAAGGGGGAGGAGGCAATATAAAAGATAGACTGTTAATAATCTGGCATTAAGTACAATTCCACACCTCAAAATATTACACAAGTATACTTTTCGTGTTGGATATGCAACACTTATACAGACTATGGCGCTGGATGTTACCTCGTCACTTATAAGACAACTATTAAAATAAATTATTTAAAATTACTATTAAATTTACAAATTTATGGAACTAATATAATTAAATTTTTAGATAAATTTACATTAATAGTCTCTCGTGTGTGTGCGTGTACGTGGGTGTTTGTGTTATACATTTGTGCCTGCAGGATCGAGCTGTAAACTCTGCCCGTTGGATTCTGGCTTGACTGGGAATCGAACCCGGGCCTTAGGACTATAACCCCGTAGCGCTGTCTACTCAGTCGCGACTGAGTAGACAGTCAGTCGTCTGTCTACCCACACGCTTGTGTATTTACTATTTGTGCCTGCATAATAGTTATTAGCTCTTGGACATCGCCTTTCTAACCAATCTTTTTTTTTTCAAT